TATCTATAACCTTGTGAAAGTCATCCGACATCTCTATGTCTCACTGTCTTCATTGGCCAAACAGGGAATTAAAATAGGGCCTGCTTTGCACAGTTGATGTGAGGCGTAAGCCAGGTAATGGACTTAAAGAGGTCAGAGCAGTGTGTAGCACAGCCACATTTGATGGCGATGATCCAGGCTTCTCAGCGGGTCCATGGTATGGCCTCTGCTTTATTCAGTTCTGTGCATATGCTTCTGAGAATAGCAAAGTGGTCTCTCTTTATAAAATACACCATAGCTACTAAGAACCCCGCAGTAAATTAGTATTCCAGAGCATTTCTCACTTTTCAGACATGGGGCTCTGGCTTCCATAGGAATACAGAAATCTGCAAACCCATTTGCAGTGACAGAAAGGCCCTCCTTTGACCCTCTGTGTTTATGTGTGTCGTCATCTCTCCCTCACACATCTGCAGTCATTGCACAACACTCTGCCCTTTTCGATGGCAGGATTACAAGAATGTATAGTTTAAACCATGCATTTTGCAAAGGATGAGCATTATTTTCGAGTCTGGGAAACTTCAAAATAATGTGAGTGCCTTCTGTGTTTTGTCTCATTAGGTAAAGGCAAAAAAGTTCTAGTTGTTTTTTTGTACCATTTATACAGCTTGTGCTTTAATTAAAACAAGAACCAGGCTCATGACTAGAGGGGGGAAATCATAAAACAAAAAGTCTAGAGCTGCGGCTGGAGAGGAAGAAGAGCAGTTTGAAACTCGGGCATCTTTTTGGTAAACATCTTTTTCAAATGGATTGCACATTACCCTCCCCGCTCCTGCCACTTTACCAGGAAAGGGGCTTAGGGCTATGAGAGAGGGAGGCTTACAAAACCCTAAAAATAAAGCATGTTTGTGGGAGACTGTGTTTCTCTTTATGCCAGTAAATGAGCAAGTTGAACACATCTCCGCTTTTCAATGTTAGCCTCTGAATAGTCTCCATTTTGTCCCTAAAATAGTTGTCACATTTATTGCCCCTAGCTTACCCAAATAGGCTGAAAACAATTGTTTCAATATTTAAGAGGTTATCTCTACCACATTCCCTGTGAAATCACTATGTATGAGCAATGTGATTCCAGCACATTGAAGGTATTGCACTGGAATGGATTGGACTATAATAAAATGATCTACCATGGCACAGAGGTTGCCCACCAAATTCGAGCTTCTTCAGTTTCATGTGGATATATAGAGGCCAGGATTGCTCATCCTCAGTACTAAGTTCAGGCCAGATAATTCTTTGTTTAGGGCATTTTCCTGTGCATTTTAGGTTGTTTAGAAGCATTCGTGGCCTCTACCCACTAAATGCCAGTAGCATATCCCTAGTTATGACAACCAAAAATGTCTCCAGGTACTGCCAAATGTTTCCCCGGAGGGTGGGTAGCACCAGATGGTGAGTAACGCCGTCCTTATGAGGGTCACTGCAATAGATGATGTTCATCCTGGGGAAACAGTCAAAAGTATATATTCTTGAGACAAAGTATTACTAACTAGTGGGTTACTGTGGACACATTATGGGATTTGTTTCATGCTTCCTCATCTGTAAAATGTGTGTGTGTGTGTGTGTGTGTGTGTTTGAGGATTGAGTGAAATAATATATGTGAAGCACTTAGCTTGGCACACAGTAAGTTGCTCTTAAAAATGGTAGCTTTTGTTATTATTTTAATGAATAATACAATAATATTTATGTGACCAATGGTGAAGAAAGAGGGTGGTTGTGAGAATTTAAAAAGAGAATGCTTACCCCATAGCTAGTGCTCAATGAATGGCAGCCATTATTACTGTACCTTCACTTTTTCCCTTCTGATACAAGTTTAAGTGTAGGTCAAAGATCCAAACAATAGATACATAATTAAAGGGGGGTGGTCTGAGTACAGTTACACAATTACAGATGGATATCCTTATTTATATTTCAGAGTGGTCAAAGTTATAGAAACACGGCTATTGCGTAATCCTGCATCCCAAGTTGCTAAACAGCTCTAGTTATTGCTTAACATATTTTATTATCTTTTAAGTGGAGATTCCTAATTCATCAAAATTATGGGCTGCTGCCAGATGATTCTTCTGTAAACACAACTGCTCTATTGCAGTGTTAAAAAAAAAAAGTCTTGACATGGTGCCTGGTCTTTTCCCTCGAGTTCTTTCTTCACCATTGGTCATGTAAATATTATTGTATTATTCATTAAAATAATAACAAAAGCTACCATTTTTAAGAGCAACTAACTGTGTGCCAAGCTAAGTGCTTCACATATATTATTTCACTCAATCCTCAAACACACACACACACACACACACACACACACACACCCTTAAAAGTTAGGTGGGTATCTCAGAGAGGTGAAGTTAACGTGCTCCAGCCAGCATAGGTCAGAACAAGTCTGGCCCAGACTGGTGCCTTCAAAGCCTATACTTTTTCTTTCTTTATCCTCACCCGAGGACATTCTCATCCATTTTTTGTTCAGATAGAGTGGGAGAAAGAAAGAGGAAGAGAGAGAGAGAGAGAGAAACATTGACATGAAAGGGACACATCGAGCGGCCACCACCCGCACGACCAACCAGGGCCAGGGACAAACTGCAACCGAGGCACATGCCCTTAGCGGGAACCAAACCCGGGTCTCTCTGGACCGCAGGCTGATGCTCTAACCGCTGAACCAAACCGGCCAGGGCCAAAGCCTATGCTTTTAAAATGCAACTGCAGCCCTGGCCGGTTTTGCTCAGTGGTTAGAGCATCGGCCTGCGGACCAGAGAGTCCCGGGTTCGGTTCCCACTAAGGGCATGTACCTCCGTTGCAGTTTGTCCCTGGCCCTGGTTGGGGTCGTTTGGGTGTCAACCACTCAATGTGTCTCTTTCACATCGATGTTTCTCTCTCTCCCTCCCGCTCTATCTGAAGATAAATGCAAAAAAAAAAAAAAAATGTCCTCAAGTGAGGATAAAAAAAATAAAAAATAAAATGCAACTGCACTTGTGCAAACCTCAGAGAGCTATACTCCCAAACTCCTAATCATAACACAAGTCTGCCTTTCTAAAACACCTTCTGCCCTCCCCAGACCTCCCCACAGTATCATTCACTCTCTTTTGCTCTTCCCCACTCAGCTCAAAATACCTTGATGAGAGTGGTTACAAAAGAACAATGATCTGAACACTTTTTAAGTCAAGCCTTGTAACTTCAAGGAAGAGAAAAAGACAGACAGAAGGGAAGACACTCACGTCACCATGGTCTTCACAAGGATGAGTACAACTGTCTGGAAGCGGAAGTGTGGGAAGGCTGAAGTCACCTTTCCCTGATACAGAGACAGCCAAGGTTAAAGCAGGCATCCACCAAACTCATCCCAGTAACTCAGTTCTTGCATTCAGGATGCAGATTTTACTTCAAAATGAGGAGTAAAGGAGAGGACTAATGCTGTTGCCCGAGGCATGTTCAAGTAAGCTTAACTTTTTGAGACCATTTCCAGCAGTGACCCAAAGCTCTATGCTATGGGAGATCGAGGAAAAGTAAGGTCAGACAGAGCGGGTCCATCTGCACTGTGGCCGCCACTGCAGCTCCCACTGCTGCTGCAGCCCCAGCCAAGGTTGAAGCAAAGGAGGGGTCAGAGGAAGATACGGGATTTGGTCTCTGACAATTACCAAAAAGCAACCAGCTCAGCCAGCTTTATTTGTGAAACAAGGAAATAAAGGCTTACTTCTCTTAAAAAGAAAAAGAGTCCGGCTGGTGTGGCTCAGTGGATTGAGCATTATACCATGGACTGAGAAGTCCCAGTTCGATTCCCAGTCAGAGCACATGCCCAGGTAGTGGGCTCAATCCCCAGTGGGGGGCGTGCAGGAGGCAGCCAAGCCATGCTTCTCTCTCACATCAGCGTTTCTATCTCTCTCTCCCTTCTTCTCTCTTAAAAAAGCAGTAAAAACATACTTAAAAGACGAAAAAGAAATTGTGACCTTGGAGGTTCTGAGAAGAAAAGTCATATGACTAGTTCAGAAACTTTCTTTTATATTATTATTATTTTTTATCCTCACCCAAGGACATTTTCCCATTTTCTGTTCAGATAGAGTGGGAGAGAGAGAGAGAGAAACATCGACATGAAAGGGACACATTGAGTAGCTGCCACCCGCATGACCAACCAGGGCCGGGGACAAACTGCAACTGAGGTACATGCCCTTGGCAGGAACCGAACTCAGGTCTCTCTGGACCGCAGGCCGATGCTCTAACCGCTGAGCCAAACTGGCCAGGGCCAGAAACTTTCTTACCACATACTTTGACAGCCCCATTTGGCTGGGAGGGCACGAGAGGCCAACATGTGGCAGAACCGAGTGTGGCCCAGGGCAGGTCACAGCCAGCTCTAAGCTGGGCGCATGTACAGGACCCATTCAGAGCAGTCGTGAGTTCTGAGATGTTCGAAGGCCTACAGCATTACAGGATTAAGCAGGGCCTCAGCAGTCAGCTGGTCCAGCCCTTATTAACACAGGACTCTATATTTCCAACAAGCATCCAACCTGTGCTTTGAAGCCTCCAGTGATTGGAAAAATCCCTCTTATTGTTCATCAGATACTAACTTGGAGTCCCTCAGTCCTTGTGCATGTGAACTCCAGAGGAGGCTGGCTGTGCCACAACCCAGCATACAAAGGGCACTGGCATGAATAGGGTTAATTACGTGCATAAGTAACTCTTTGGAAATGCTTACTATCTGCAGGCACTTTATAAATGTCCTCAGTGAATGAATAATGGTGCAGGCAATAAAGAGATTAGGAATGGGAGGCGCAGTAAGGTTAAATCTCACCCAAGCTCACACACAGTTAAGTGGGATTCACTTCTTCATCCAGGAGAACCCCCAAAACCACACTTTGCCCCACGGGATGTCTGCTGACAAGTTCTAATGTGGCTGGGAGAGTTTAGGACACTCAGACTATGACAGAGAAAGTAGCCCACGTAAGTGAAGGCAGAATCTCCTGAAAGCATTACTTTCAAGTGGTAATACTTACAGATATGTCATCGCTGAAGTCAATTTCATCCAAATCAAGGTATTCAGGGGCTTCCATTATTCTTCTTTGCACATTTTGAGCAAGGTCAAAATACTTACAGATTCCTGGACAAGTCAGAAAAGAAAGGCAAAAAGGTTAGTTGTTTAATGAACAAAAATCGTACCTATGTTTCAACAAACAAAATGAAGAAGGTAACCGCGGCTAGCGCTGCCTCTGAGCACATGTCCTTCCTTCCAGGCCGCGCCTGGCCTTCCAGCAATGTTAGGCACAGCTCCGGCAGGCCCCGGGGGGCTCCCCAGTGAGAGCCTGTGGCCCTTTGCTTCACTTCAGGTGCGCCTTCTTGTCTTTCCTTGAGCACTAGCTCAGGTCAAACTCATCCCCTGTGGTCCGCATGAGGAATGAGCCAGCCCATACCTGCACATACGATGCCTTGGGCGGAAGTAGGACTTCGGGAATGGGGTGCCCTGAAATCTCAGGAAAGCCACCTTCCAATGTCCCTGTGGCCACACCCCTGGATGTCTGCACGGAGCAATGCACACTGCATGTCCACAGCAACAACACAAGTACAAGCCAGACACCAACTAACCAACAGTCACGGATATTTCAGAATCCGTAGCACAACCTCCAGCTCGTCCCTCCAAATCACATTTGACAAGAGGCTCCAGGGACAGACTGAATCCGCAGAGTTATTACTGCGCTGCGCTTGCTTCTCTCAGCTCCGCCTGACGGTGCCCGAGTGACCCGAGCCGGCGCCAGAACGTCCTCAGTCAGCACCTGCCCCGGGGCTGCCTGTGGCAATTCTTTACATCTGCCGGGAAGATGCAGCACCTCCCAGTCCATTTTCTCATCACTCATCATCATCACCATGCGGGCGGCAGTGACACCTACAGACGTCAAGGACAGAAAGAAGAGACCTCCCGACAGTGCCTCGGAGAGCAGTTATCTCCCCCAGAGCCAACGCTCGGCCAACGGACTGCGTTTCCCACACCTGGTCCTTCTGATTACAGAATCTGCCTCATGTACGCAGACGTGAGGAGTAATTTGTTTTCCTCTAATCAGGGGTACCTTGCAGATGAGTCAGGAATACATTACTGGGAAGTGAAAACAAATCCAGGCCAATGAAAATGAGCCCAGCAATATAAGAGCAAGCATGTAAACATAACTATTTTTTAAATATGGTCTTTTAAAAATTGATTTTAGAGAGAGAGGAAGGGAGAGAAAGAGAGAGAGAGAAACAGCTATGTGAAAAAGAAACATTGATTGGTTGCCTCCTGCACCCACCCAGACTGGGGACAGAACCCGAAACCTGGGCATGCGCCCTAGCTGAGAATCAAACCAGTAACCCCCTGGAGCACAAGATGATGCTAAACCAACTGAGACACCTTGGCCAGGGCAATACCTATTCTGTAAACGGAAACTCTTACTCTGAAGACATTGCTTTCTTATTTTAAGCTATACAAACAGAATTACAATAAAGGGGGAAAAAATCACTTGCCATCTCATACCTCAAACCCATCACTGAATTTTCAGTGATTCCTCTCCTTCCTTTCTCACAAGCATGACCATTTTTATATTTTTTCAATTACAGCAGATGCAGAATTGGTCCAAGGAAGGATTAGGAATTCTACTACCATGTTCAAATGAAGTCATCCATTTAGAATAAATATTGAAAGTTCTTCAGAAATCACAGTAAGGTTTAAAATGAAAGCAAGTTTGTGTGTGTGTGTGTGTGTGTGTGTGTGTGTGTGTGTATATATATATATGAAAATTTTATTATTTATAGACATCTAAAAATAGGTTCTTAAGCAAATTGCTTCTTATAAAAAATATATCACTTTTCCTCTAATCCTTACAAAGCTTTCAGAGCAAAACACACACACTTATACTTGCAAATGACTCATAATGTTCTCTTCCATTCTGGTGGATTCTGAGACAATCCAGGCTCTGTGGATTCAAGCTTGTCAACAAACCAACCTTCTTCCAATCCAATTTCTTCTCCACAATGAATTGTTGAATTACACATTATTCCCAGGGCTTTGGTGAACACAAAGATGATGCTGAGTGCAGGATGGGGTGCAAACAAAATATACCAGAAACATGGAGACACGGGAAGATGAAGCCGAGAAACACGCATCAAAGTGGGGACTTTGAGGATCTTCACATATATGAAAATACAAAACTAAATGCAAAATGCAAATGAACATGTCTTTTTTTTTTTTTTTTATCCTCACCCGAGGATATTTTTCCATTTTTTGTACAGATAGAGTGGGAGGGAGAGAGAGGAAGGGAGAGAGAGAGAGAAACATCGACGTGAAGGGACACATCGAGTGGCTGCCACCCGCACGACCAACCAGGGCCGGGGACAAACTGCAACCAAAGTACGTGCCCTTAGCGGGAACCAAACCCGGGTCTCTCCGGACCGCAGGCCGACGCTCTAACCGCTGAGCCAAACTGGCCAGGGCAAATGAACATGTCTTAACCAAGCAAATTAACAAATAATCAGAGAGCCTGTTTGAGATATTCTCACAATATAAAGAGCAACCCACACTCAAGTGTAGCCACTCTCATGAAACATACCTAGTGAAGAGTATAAATCATGATATTAAAAGGCAGAGGGTAGTGAGATTCTTTATTCTACAGTCCAGAACACAAGAGTTACAACAGTTCCTGGCCGCTGCTCATAAATATCTCAGTGGGTGGGATGGTCCAGCCTCAGACTAAAGGGTCCAAGGCAGCCAGGATCCTCCTTTACTTCCTGATGGGCCTCCATGTGCAGCCATCTCCTTTAAGATCCTTATTTTATGACCCAGTTGGTCTGGTTTTAATGCTTCTCTCTTGCAAGGTACCACTCTGAAAGTACCACGTCCTCATTTACAATGTGCAAAAATCCCCGTGGTTCACCAGTCTCAGCCACATTCCCAACACTAATTGCTGTTTTTCAGTTGAGGGTGAGTCCACAGTTGTCCCATGGTCATTGCCTCCTCCTTCCTCATCTGCCTGTCCACTGAGCACCTGGCAGCCTCGGGTGGGTCCCACGGGGACATGGTGGGAAGGGCTGAGGTCAGGTTAGAGCAGCTGATGAGGACACTGAGCCAGGCTGGGGGCGCTTTCCTCCCCCCCGCTCCGCTAGCGCCGTGCCACCCCGCACACCCGCCCGCAGTGGAAACCGGCAAGCCCCCCGTCTCCCCAAGGACATGGGCTGATGGAACGTGCAGCTAAAGAGGGCACACACCACAGGCCCGTGAGCCGAGTCTGGCCCACAGATGTGATGTGTTTGGCCCTAACAGTGTTTTAAAAATAATCAGATCAGTTGCCAACATGTAGACCTTGGGTGATTTCACATTAAATTCTGGATTTCTGGCTTCACTTTAAAAGTATCTGAAGCTGTGGCAGCACGGGTCTGCATTCCCCATGACAAGAGTTGGCTTCAGCTGAGCTGCAGCTGCCCCGACCTGTCCAGGAGGCCTGCTCCCCTGCTCACCTGCCACCTCCCATCTCCCTTCCTCACTGGCAGGCCTGCCCGGTCCTCGGGGCATCTGAATGTTGGATCCTCCGAAGGAATTCAGTATTAAACAATAAGTACCACCCGCCCCCCACTTTTTTTCTTATGGGTGCCTCCTGCCAAATCATGTTTACTTCATTTGTAGTCTACGTTGTTGTAAATTCTCGTACTGCAAGAGCAACAAAATAAAATTTCTTACAAATTAACTACCAGCATGTTACAATTTGTGCTTTTACAGGGCCTTCATTCTCTCTCACAGTACGAGAAATACCCTGCGGAACACAATAAAATGTTACGAGGTGGAGATTATGTCTCCCTCCCTGTGTGACTAGAGGAAGGAAGGGTTTGTGCCTTGGGATTGGCACTGTGGGCTTACAGGGTGCCACTTCCCTGCTGTGAACAGAGGGGAGAGTGGAAGCTGTTGCCAAGTGTAAGCCCAGAAAAGGACCAAGGCCTTCCTTCATCTGGTCAGGCCAGCAGCTCGGACGCCAGAGGACCAACCTTCCTCAAGGCCAATGACAGCGTGTTTACGCCTAAGAGAAACTATTTCTCAGCCTCCCCAGAAAGGGCAGTGCAGCTTAAAATCCTTTACATGAGCTTTTATTGCTGTGCATCATAGTTGGCCAGGGGCGGCCTGGGATCTCAGGACCCAGTCATTTATACATGTACGCTGCACCCCACCCTCTCAGCCCTGGCCCTACCAGCTGCAGTTCCTCCTCCCAGGTTCTCAGGGGTCCCAAAGGCTTTCTGTTGCATTGCTGTCCCTACCACCCAACACACCTCTCACGTGGCCAGCCTACGGTCAGCCTACCTTCAGTGCTGTCAACCCACCGAAATGACTGCATTTCATCTCGGTTGTGCTTTTAATTTCTCTTCACTGATGTTGTCAACATTTAAGTTGTTATTCACTTAGGCAGATATGCTGTGTGTTGAAAAAATTTATAGGGGATAGAGAAGAAGGTGGAGATTGGGCAGGAGGTGAGAACAGAAAAGTAAAGGGGAAAATATCTGGGTAGGAAGTGTGTAGGGGTGTGCAGACACGGGGCTAGGCGGTGGGGCCTGTATGCTGTGCAGAGTCTGCTGGCAACAGATTGTCCCCCTTCTTTTGATGGGCCCAAAGCATATCTACTGGGAGAGATTTTACTCAAACTCCAAACGAATGCTCACCTCAAGGAAACAAAGAACAAAATAATCAGCATCAACGATACGCAATGTCTGCAGGGTTTTTCCTACTCTCACTGAGTTTTGATAAACTGCCAAGAACAGAAGTCCCTCCAGTGCCTGTTAAAGTACGTGGGAGGGGCTCATAGCCCTAATGGGTCTATCAACACCATGTCACCTTCTCATGAGTGGCCTCAGTGATGGCCCAAAAGCTTCCTTTAAGGGAAGATTCAATTTGGGAAAGAGTCCAAAGTAACTACAAGTCCTACTGGATAATAAAAATCAGACAAGCAATTTTAAAAAATAGCCTCCCCCTCTCATAGTCTGATTTTCAGGTGATATTTTTAACTTATTTTTTTGGTTGGGACTGGAAAACTGACTCTGAGAATAACTCCAAATAGAGACTTCCAAGAATCTGTTGGGTAATGGCAGCATCACTGGAAAAAGCTTGGAGTGGCCAACAAAATTTCTTTGAGAAACTACACTCCTCTAACATACACATTTTGGTGCTCTTGGCTTGTAAAAAAAAGGGGGGGAGGGGCTTACTGATTTGTGACTGCAGTCACAGATCACATAAATGGCTCTACTGAAATTCTTCTTAGAATGAATCGCCTCACCCCGTTTCACAGGGAGTCAGCGCAGGCTCGTGTTACACAGATTTCTCCTTTGCTGCCAAAGTCACTGTTGCTACGTTTACCAGTCAGCTATGAGGCCCGGTAATTAAAAGTAAGTTAAGGCTTGTCAGAATAAATGAGCAGCATACATTCAGTGATGAGGTAACTTCAATTGATTTGTATTATAACCCTCTCTGCTCTCTAATTTGCCAATACTTGGGAAAACAGTACAGTTCCCAAGACCCCTACACACAGACAGACACAAACACCCCCCCCCCCCATCACACTCACACACACATACACACAGCACCAAATTTTTATTGGGATAAATTTTCCTTTTGAAATCCTACACATAGACACTGGACTTTCTTTAATAGAACATGAGCTTTTTTACAAAAAAAATCACTAAGAACTGGACTGCTTGGGTGGAAAAAGTGTAATATATGAAATGTCGTCCCCAGTTGGCTCAGTAGCTTGGCTGGCAAGGAAGCAACTCATTCCAAATGTTGGATTCAGTTTCTCTCACTCCCTGATTCAACAGTGGCCAGAAGCATGGCAGTCGCTAAATTTCTAGTTCTGAAGCAGAAAAATGATAGAGGCAAGAAACTTCTCCTGGAAAGGCACAAGTAAGGGAGAGCCAAGACGCACACAGGAGGATTGAGGGGAAAGCACACGCTGTGTAGATTTCATCCACTTCTTCACCTACGGACTATTCTGTATGCCGGATGGAACGCACACTGCTCTCCACACCTCTACGGGGCACGCTATACGAGGGCACAGACAAGAAAACAAGCCATTACAACAGAATGCGGGCCTGGCTTAGACACATACATGCACAGGAGTCTGAGACACCTAACCGAGACCTTGGACATGAAGAACGTCTGCCTAGCAGCCACGAGGTGTAAGCCGAAAGCTGGAGGATGAGGGTATGGATGGTGAGGGAGTTGTAGGGGCAGAAGGAAATGTTCCAGGTAGTAGTGTTAGAAAGGACAAGCGTCTCAAGGTCGGGTGGTTCTTACTAAATGCTACTCTTGCTGTGTCCAAATGCAGCACAGTATTCTGCAGACGTAGCTGTAACCCGATGAGCTTCACCAGAACACAACCTGGTAAGTTTAGCCCCCTGCCAAGAAGAAATCAACATATAATTAACCAAATAGTGTATATAAGCAATGACTAAGCCTCCCTACAGGGAGACGGAGCTTTCTTGCTGCAAGTAAATAAAACTACCTAATGACAACCACGTCAGGTTCTTGAATAGAACATTCCAAACAATGAATCCCTTGAGTTTGGTAATGGTTACAGCATGAGCAAAGGCCTGGAGGTAAGAATTTTGAAATAGAATTTCTAGGAAGATGAGTAACACTGATTTAACACTACTGCTCTTTTCTATCTATAAAAAAAAGGGGGTCTTGAAGTGTGAGGGCCAAGCTGGATGAT